GAGGACGCAACACTTAGTCTCCATCTGCCTGGGCTATTACTCAGAATGCACCCGTAGACCCCATTTCCCCTCTCAGAGCCTTCGCTCCTTCCGGCAGGCGATTTATATCAGTCATTCTAGGACGGGAGGTAGGCCTGGGCCCCCTACCACTTCTGCAATAGCACTCAGTGGAGGAGGCACCAGGCTGTACTCCCAGTCCTCTCATACATACACAACCACTCACCCATACAGTCCCCACATAAGTCAGCTAAAACACAGAAAATACAACAATAATGAGATTTTAAAAAGTGGGTACAGACATCAAACAGGCACACCATCCACACCACATTCATAAAATTCGCGGAGCACTGCGCTAGTGTGGTTTAAAATAGCCAGTGGTGCGGAAGGAGGAGGGAGAGCTGCCCCACCCCTCTCCCTTCCTCCAAGTCCCGAAAAGACACCCAAGGCCAAAGGCCCAAAGTCCGTGTTGGGTGAGGTGGTTGTAGATGGAGGGGGACAGGGCGTAAATGCCAGATATTAACACGCGGCAACTTCGCAGTCTCACACCCTCCAAATCAGGATGTAATTCAAAAGAAAAGCCAACGATGGTCCATAGAAGATATGTAGGTGGTATGCAGGGGAATGTCTTGTTTCCCCCCTCTCCTATAGGCCTGAGAGGGTCCGAAGTCTGGGGGTCCAAAGTCTGGGGGTGGCTGGAACAGATCGAAAGGGAGGGGGATGCATCGGTTGTTGAGACGCCAAGTCCCCACCCATGTTTCTGCCATTCTCTATCACTCCTTCCATAAACCGAATGCACCACACATACACAGACCATGGTGTCCTAGGAGTTGTATTAGATGGGCGCTGTCCGAGTTGGTGTTCCAGGGGCAGTGACGGGTGACAAACGGTCAGAGGAGGCCAGATGTTGAAAGGCCAGGATAGTGGAGAGTCAATGCTGGGCAGGGGAACAGGCGGAGGCTCCACAACAGCGGGGGCAAGCAGAAGAAAAAAAGTTTGCCAAAGGATGAAGCCCAGACATGCAGAGGGGCGAAGGGGAGAGGCTGCGACGGCGAGGGAGGCAAGCAGAATGGAGGGAGGGGGGCATCCAAGGAGGGCTATGGCGGCGGCAACCACAGCCAGCCGCCCGATCCGCCCGGTCCCGGTCAGGTCCAGATAGATAGATCCCCACCTCTCCGGGGCGATGATGAGTGGTAGTGTCCATTAATAGGGTCCTCAAGGCTCACCGCTCAGCTGGATAGAATCAGAAATCGCCAAAATCTAGGTAAAAATGCTGCCGTCAGCAGCGCGGCGCCGCCATCTTCCCCTCCACACAGCGTGAGTTACTCCGCGGCCGCCAAGGATTGTGCCGTTCGGTATCACCTGGGAGCGCGATTCTTCAGGATGTCTAGTCCTCTCGTTCCCTGGATTCCAGTCCTCCCAGGGGACCTTTTTAGAAGGATTTCTGGTTTTTCCTCTCCTGTGCGATATCTCATTGATTATGTTAGCAATGGCATAACCAGGCCCAGCACCCGCTTGTCAAATTTGACTGCTGCTGGCACATTTCTACCTTCTAATTGTTGGGTCATGCCCTCCATTTCTATTTTGGATTGGGGTATGAACTGCAGAAGAGTTGACACGCTATTTCCCCAAAGGCATCTGCTTGAGTAAAGTCTAACCAGCGCTTCACCATGCCCTGTTCAAGCATTTTTCAGGATCCTTTTATATGTGGGTTGAGCATTTTCTGGGAACATTTTTAAATAATGGATGACAGATAAATTGTACCAGTCCTTCTAAACTCTATGCAGATTCTCATATGGTGACACTGAATGCCATAACCTATAAATAGAATGTAACTGACAATCTATTTGCACTAAGTTGTCATCTGCAAGCATGGAAAGATATAAGCTATCACACAGCTGTGGGCTGTGTAAGGCTTAATTATATGTGAGTGACAACTATGCAAAAATCTATCCTCCCATTTTGTGAAAGTTTTGTGAAATCAAAGATGCTTCTTCTCGTGATTGCATCTTAATGCCATTTCTTATGAAATAATTAATTGTGTATCATTTTTGCAAGCCACTCAGATTTGTTTCTGATAGAAAAGGCATAAAATCAGTTGCTTGTCACATTCGAAAAATTATTCCGGAAACTCCACATTTAAGCTCTGTCTGAAAGGAATGACAAAAAGTGTTACATCTCAGTTGTAGAAAAATCAAAGCAGGAAATCAGTTACTTTCAAAGAGGGCTGTGAATCATTCAAGGCAAGGCATTAATGGACAGCAGGGTTATTATAGTTGTTGCTTTTTGGCTTCCTGTTCAATGCAGCTTTTATAGCAAACTATACAAGCCAACGCATTGATGCTTCCTAGATCTACCATGGAAAAAGAGAGAGGGGAAAAGAAATCCTACTATTTCTCAGAAATAAGTCAGCTACATGTTCAGAAATTTAATTAGACATTTCCCTAGACATTTTTTTCTTCTCTATTTTTTTTTGTGTTATGCTGAAAATCATAACATGTCATTCATTGTTTTCACTTCCCTTGCTAAAATACTTTCCAGACACGTAAGTTTAAAGACTTAGTAGTGTAATGTCATGTAAGCAATGAAACCAACCATGGGCCCTAAATGTATTTTGTATTTTCTTTCTCCTCTTAGAAAAAAAGAATTCTAAAGGGTTCAGTTGAACTATCCAAGATTAAATGTGTAGAACTTGTAAAAAGTGATGTCCCAGTTCCATGTCACTATAAATATCCTTTCCAGGTAAGTATCAACATATGCCATTACAATCATGCTAAACATAACCAATACATCAAACTTACAAGTCATGCTTAATGCTTTTTTAATTGACCAAAAGATTTAAGGGGGAAAAACTGCTTATGTGATGAGAGAGAAATTGTAGCAAAAACAGTTTATAGAATTTCAGACTTGTTTCTGTTTTTAATGCTAATCGGCATTTTTTAAAAGAATCCAGCTGCTTTGTACAATACCTTTCGGATCAAATTTTAGAACAGTATATAAAATTTAATTTTATACACATATTCTTACTGTTTCTTCCTTTGTCTATTTCAGCCTCTTGCTAACATTATTTTCACCTGCCACAAAATGCTTTCAATAGTATTCTTCTCTAGAAAGAAAACTCTAGAAACTCCCAACCCCATCCTCAAACACAAGTAATTAATTGGAGAAAAAACTTTTCCTTTCTTCTGGGAAATATGGCTTCTTTTGAGTGGGTTGCACTAAAGCAAACCAGATATATAATAATTTAAATGGCATATGAAATCATTTTTCCCCACAGCTGTAGCCCAAATGTTAGTTTCCTGTTTAGCAGTGAAATGAAAGATCCATCGTTTGCTGTGAATATAGTGTCATTCAGAAAATAAAAAAACAAATGATCCTAGTGATACAATTCATGATTGACCAAGGTAGAGATAGCTTATGGTTTCTGTTTCTTACAGGACAAATACAGAAGTGAATATTTGTTGGGGAATTAAGAGTTTTACAACCTCAGTTAGGTTTACTCTCTTTTAAAGAGCAAAATTCTCTTCCAGCCTGTGGAAATCTGTAGAAATTTTGAGAAGAAGGACTAACAATGGAATGGCAAAAGCACTTAGATTTATGTACCACTTTACAGTACTTTACACCCTCTCTAAGTGCTTTACAGTCAGAATATTGTCCCCAACAATTTGGGTCCCCATTTTACCCACCTCGAAAGGTTTGAAGGCTGAGTCAACCTTGAGCCTGGTGAGATTTGAACTGCCAAATTGAAGGCACCCGGCAGTTAGCAGAAATAGCCTGCAGTACCACACTTTAACCATTGTGTCACCGTGGCTTATGATGGGTCTTCAGTGCTTTTTATTATGTTTTATCCATTCTGTGCAAATATATGTAATGTATTCACTAGACACACACACACACATGCCACACACATACAAATATATCAGAATGAGAAATAATGTTCATTTGACAAAATGTTTAATGCAATAATTTTGTTAGTAATCTGCCACCACATTAAAATATTATTTATTAATACAAGTTCACTTTTCCTTCTAACATCACATTAGAAACCATTCATAGAAAGTGGGCTGATCCTGTTCAGTTTAGAATCGACTAAATCCTTTTTCCTTCCATCACAGATTTTTCATGACAACTATATGCTCTACATCTTTGCCCCCAACCTAGCAAGCTGCCAGAAATGGGTCATGGTTCTGAAAGAAGGTAATTTGTAACTCATCACATTGTAATTTCTCAGGTCAACACCTCATTTGAAATTCAGTATGTCAAGGTAACATACTGACTAAGGTAATTAAAGGCTAAGAAATACATATTGGACATAAGGTTTTTGTGGCTTCCATTTTTATATTCCTGTTTCCAGCTGCAACCGTTAATTATTTTAATATCATTTTTTATTTTAAAAAAAAGTTAATGGCAAACTGTTGATGGGAAATATTTATTTCACCTCCATATGCTGGGAATAATGTTTGAGGATGAAAGGAATATGTGTTTATCTACGTATCTAATTAAATTATATGCTGCATCAATGTCTCCTTTTACATAACAGCACATTAAAATAAAACAAGATTGGCCCTTATTACAATGATAACAGCTTATTCTTGTATTATTTGTAGTAAGTGCAATGGCATGTACATCATCTGTTCATAATATCATGGTGAAATCTGTTCTCCAAACTTCAGGAGTTTTGCATTTTGCTTTGTTTTAATCAGAGTAAAAGTAGCTTTTGCTACTTCAGGATGCTTTGGAATTTCACCAATACCAGCTCTCTTCTCTTTCATGGGATAGAGGATGTAATGGAAGCAATTCTTTCCCATCAAATGTAATGATTAAAATCACTCTCTAGGAATTTGAGAAATGGCAATCCCAATGGCAGGGTATCAATTGGGGGGGGGGAAGTATATTGTAAAAGCTATTTACCATTATCAGGATTGCTCTGCTTGAAGTATCTGACATTTTCCCCATTTTAGAAACTAGGAACAACACCACTTTGGTGTCAAAGTTTCACCCAGATTTCTGGATAGACGGACGATGGAGATGTTGTTCCCAGCTAGAAAAGATGGCAACAGGCTGCATGGAGTATATTCCAGCCAAGACTGGTAGGAAATTCAAAAGCTTCTCTTCCATCAAGGCTTCCAGAATCATTTAAAGTACTGCTATATAAGCTATAGGACATCTGTAAAATATGTATGAGAGAAGTTCAATAAAGCTTTATGTTTAATTCCATTATTTTTATGTAGGGGCTTGACTGCCTTTTGGTTCGGCTCATGAGAGTGATCTGCTCACCATATGTCTTGAATCTGTAATGTGGATCTATTCATTTCCTTTGGAACTGAAGATTTCCAGACTCAGTGTTGCTCATCTATAAAACCAATAAATGTCTAAATCCTTAACTTCTACATAATATGGTGCAAACAATGTGAAATGCCGGAAAACCTAATTAGAATTATTTTCTTGTGCTTCTTGCACTGTGTTTGTGATGCAGTCACTGTTTAGAACATATGTGGATGGTAATATTAGCTGTCATGCACTACATGGGCTGTACATTAATTATACATCTTAAATAAGCAAAATGAATATTGTGGATTATCTACTTTAAGTATTAGGTTTCACTTTTCAATTCACTAGGATCTGTGAATGGTTTTTCTCTCTGGTTCACAGGCATCACTTCCTTTGCTCTGGCATCTGTGTTTAAGGGCAATACTCTTATCCTCATCACTCATGTCCCGATTGTGGGTTGCTGTTTGCTTATAGTTTCTATTCATGATTCTTAATCCAGTCAGTACCTTACCCATTCCGTGGGTCATTGAAGATGTTCATTTCAGCCCCTGATTAAAAAATATTGGAAATAATCAATATACAGTTACTCTGTAGTCCTTGAAAACACTCAAGATTTATAAAGCTCTTACTTTTTTTTCTGTTTGGTATGCACACACGCTATGTTGATTTCATGTTTTTTCTTTTCCTAGCCTTTAGTAAACCTCTTCCGCCTACACCGGAGAATAACATGGTGAGCATCAAGATATGGGTAGTACTAATAGAAGAGCCATCATATTATGTCCCACAGCGGCTCTTAATTATTTAAATAATAAATTTTAAAAGGCTAGTATGCCCTACAGCAGTGGTCCCCAACCCCCGGTCCGCGGACCGGTGCCAGGCCGTGGAGTACCTGGCACCGGTCCGCGG